TCTGAGTGTCAGGCAGTTTTCTGCACCCCACACTGTGCCCTGCCGCGCCAGGTTCCAACGCTGCTCTGCAGAAGCAGCAGTGAGGGCAGCACAGTGGGGAGCATCGCCAGTATCTGCTGCCTCCCCAGAGCCTGGGCCCGGGGCTGGGGCTGGGGCTGGGAGGGAGCAGCTGTTTGCAGCTGGCCCAGATTCTGGGTAGCTCTTGATAGCCACAGAGTCTGGGCTGGGGGGCAGCGGCTTTGGGTGGGGGACATGGGGCAGCAGGGCTGGGGGGCAGGGGCTTTTGGTACGGGGAAAGGGGCATGAGCAGGGCTGGGAGGCAGGGGCTTTGGTGGGCCCGGGGCTGGGGCTGGGGCTGGGAGGGAGCAGCTGTTTGCAGCTGGCCCAGATTCTGGGTAGCTCTTGATAGCCACAGAGTCTGGGCTGGGGGGCAGCGGCTTTGGGTGGGGGACATGGGGCAGCAGGGCTGGGGGGCAGGGGCTTTTGGTACGGGGAAAGGGGCATGAGCAGGGCTGGGAGGCAGGGGCTTTGGGTGGGCGGCAAGGCAAGTAGGGCATCCTGCCATGTACCCCCTGCCCTTGTTTTGTTTTTCTGGCATTCCAGCACCTTCCAAAGTAGGCGTTGTGGGGTTTTTCGGCACTCCAGCCAAAAAATGTTGCCTACCCCTGAGCTAGAGGTTTGCTGCTGCAAGAGGAACATGTCACCACTTTCTTTTGCCACTGACACAGGTGTTGAATAACTACTTAAACACCAATTTTTGATAACAAAAAATGGGTGAGAGACACTTCCCTCCACAGCACCCCATTTCTAGCAACTTTTGCCCCTGCACTATGCACCGCTGCCACCCAGGCACCATGAACACCATCACTTCTGTACTGTCTTCCTTCTTACTGGAGCAGGAGCCAGAGCAGCTTGCAGGGAAAATGAAAGGTGTGGGGGAGAGGACAAGGGGCAGAAGAGTGAGGTGTCCCCTTGGCTGCAATCCAGAAGTGGTGACAACCTCAGGACTGCTACGAAAATAGACACAAAGGTCTCTGTAGGGAGCAGGGGCATTGCTTCAGGTATTGCTGGCACCTGTCACTGCTGTTTCCCAGTCTGTCCTTTCTGACCAGGAGCTTCTCAGAGGGTTCTCTGCAAAGTTCCATCACGGTTTCTCATCCATGTCCCACTCTTCAAAAGGGACATTACCAGGCTAGGAGGCTAGGTGCATGAGAGGGGAGTTAGCACATGGCTTTGATTCACTGTACATTTCAAATATTATACTAAATGAATTGTTCTTTGTAATGCTGCAGGAAAAATATTTAAAACCTTTTTTCTGCCAAATAACAGTATTGTCATCATTAGCATCATAATGCATGATCTTTTTCATTTACAGCAGGCTTTTTAAATGATGATTCAAATCCAACAAGTCTTACTTAAGCAAAGCTCCCGTTGATATCCCTCAAAGACCCCAAAATCAGCTGCCAACTTTTACCTGACTGAAACTGCTGAATTCCAGTTTCCACCCAAAGCAATAAATCCCTCCCCGAAACACAGACTCTCTAACCTTTCTCTGAATCAGAAGTGAGTGGGTAGTGGTATGGAGGATGCATGAGGCAGAACAAAACACTCCTAGCTGACAGAAAGAGAAATCTGTGTTGGTCAGTACACACAGCATAGTGTGTTTAGGAAGATACATTGGAGAGCAGATATTTACAGAGCAAAGCTGATGTTTTACAGCGAGCATTAAATACTCAGGGAAGTGTGTGGGAGATGAAAAGCTTGTGGGATCCCTGTGGAACAAGTGAAGTGGACAATTTTTTTAAAAAGCTGAAGAAAAGGGAAATTTTTCAGTACTAGATGAGATTACACAGGCCTCACTTAGAATCGATTCCAAAGAAAGGCTTGTACATAGTGGAAAAAAAGAGCAAGCAATTTGGGCCTACGTTTTTATTGCCAAATTCTTGGATTTTAACCTGTTTCCCCTTTGATTTTCAAGTTGAAGTGGTCCCAACCACTCACAGGAAAGTGCTTTTTATAAGGATTAATAACAGACATTAAAAAAAATAGCTGCCATTTGACTTTCAAGGACACTTCAAAGGGAAACTTCCTCTACATCCCATTGTTGTTCTCTTTTCTGAAACACTTGGGGAAACACTTGGGTCAGTGGTTTTTACCCTTTGTGGACTAGAGGCACCCTCCATAACTTTTGTGAGTTGAGTGGCATCCAATTTCAAAAACTAATTTGTATATTACAGTGCTTACATCCTTGCAGAAAGGCTGAGTAGTGGGGATGGGGAATTGCCCAAGCAGGGGCAAGACTGAGCCCGTGATCATTTGCTTAGTTTATCTGCGTATCTCCTCATATCTTGTGTGTCATCTCACACCTCATCACCCTTCAAAGAATCTGGTGGCACTCCAGGGTTCACCAACACCCTGATTGAAAATCACTGACCTAGGTAAACAGTAGAAAACCTATTTAAGTTTGCTAAGGACAAGACATGTCGACTTCAGCTATAAAATCAAAAAGAGATCAAATTAATGTCTCATTTATATATTTCATAGACATTAGGGCTGGAAGGGACCTCGGAAGATCATTGAGTCTAGCCCCCTGCCCCAGCAGCAGGAAGTCAGCAGGGGTCATAGGATCCCAGCAAGATAAACATCCAAATTTCTCTTGAAGGTGTTCAAAGTAGGTGCTTGAACCACCTCCGGCAGCAGCCTATTCCAAACCTTGGGGGCTTGGACTGTAAAGAAGTTCTTCCTTATATTTAGCCCCTGTGTGTACCATCTTCTCAGCTTAAATACATGGGGAATATGAGTTAGTACAGGCAGACATATCAGATAACAGAAACTGTTTCCTTGTAGGCCGCCTTGTATCTCTTCGAAAAGAATCTCAGATCAAACGAAATTATTATGCAAAATGTATCAAGTGACACCTCTCAGCTCTTTAATGGATAGGGGCTGCAACACTTGCTTCTGAGTGGCATTGTCCAACATAGCAACCTTGACCACATTTAACAATCTAACTTTTGATATGGATTGAGATTAAACCAAGTACATCTTCAAAACAATAAACTGAGTCAGAAAACTAAAAGCTAAAGTGCCATGTCAGGAAAGCTCCTTACACCTGTATTCTCAAGTGCTCCACTCACTAGGGATGTTTTCCTGAAGTCAGGCCTAAATCACTAAATGAAGTTTTATGCTCTGCATGATGCAGGAATTCAGACCAAAGACACATAATGGTTCCTCTGGCCTTATAATCTGTGCATTCTATGAAAATGTCCGTATCAGCCACTCTTAGGAGTTGCTTGACATCTGTCAGCCATGGGCACTCATTAGACAGGACAGGACAGGAAAGGACAGAAGCTATGTTCAGGCCAGTAACTTTCAGATTCCTCTGAAAGAAATCTCTA